GTGGGAAAGATGATCTTTAGTGCTAGTATACTGATTTGACAGTCTTTGAGAGCTGTAGATAAAACATATGATACTATCTTTTGAAACTGCTACTGTATGTATTTGTAACTCTATGAATGATCTAATGGTGATTGTGAAAGAATGTGTGTGTGTGTGTGTGTGTGTGTATGTAGTCAATAAATATTTAGTATCTAGTAAATTCTATTTCAGGTGTGGACATTACAAGAATTTCATCGTTCCTTACTTACAGAAGTAATTAGACTTACCTTATGCACTCTTTTTGCTTCAAAGACAATGTATCTATGAAGATAAAATGCGGGGATAAAGGAAGACAAATGTCAAATCATTTAGTATCCAAATTATATTAAAGATTTATTTAACTATAACTGAGATGTTCGGTGTATTCTACACAGATAACTGAGGTGACTCCTCCCTCATTTTAACATTTAAGTCAAATCAAAATAATAATTATGCTCTTGCAAATATTAATGTATCTTTTAAATACATTTATATGTGGAAGTTACAAGATTACTGTCTGAGGTTTATCACATTTTCCCTAATTCACCCCATCTCATTTCTCAATCATATATAAGTCCGTAATGTTATTGCCCTTTGTTTAAACTAACATGCACATGTTTCTAATATTTTTTGAACACCAAGAATTATTGTTCTTGATTTAGGTAGATGTTTAAGGGGTGGATTCTTCTATGGAGTTGTTCTGTTCTGACTGACAGTGTTGTTATAGAACACTTTCAAATATTTTTGTACTACAAAGTAACATTTTTTTTCTTGTACCGATGTCCCAGCAATTTTTATAGTCATTGCAGATATGTCACCAAACATAGAAAAACAACCAAGATTGGAAAAGTAACTGTTTCATGAATGAGCATTTTTCATGGGCACTTGATGTTCTTGGACAGGGTATTTCAACTGTAATCTATGAAACCTAAACCAAGGTCAAGCAACAGGAGCTTTTGACCATGCTCAGTACCAGGACTAAGGGAGCAACGAGAGTAGAGATTTCTTCCAACCTTCTTTTAAGTTCTAAATAATTATTTTCTAAACATATTTCCCCATTATAATACTTTGTTACTTAGAAAGGCTTTAGTCAGACACATGTTTGAATGTTCTCTCTTGCATTACTCACTGACTTTAGGTTTATTTTTTTATGCATTCTATCCACTTAAGTAAATACGACTCTCATTGGAAAGGGACATATGAAATGAATATATAAATACCAATATCATAGAATCACAGTTTAATAAGCTATCTAGTACATCTAACTCAATGATATTGTGAGTCAAAGAATGTACCATACAATAGCAGTGAGTCCTAGTTCCCCAGCCTATAGTAGAGGGCATCATCTTTATTTGGAACATAGCTTATGGTAGAAATTCTCTCTCTTTCTCTCTGTAAGAGGAGCTAAGGTGGGAGGAGTAAGGAGAGGAAGAGGAGGAGTACGAAGAGGAAGAAAAGAAGGAAGAGGAGGAGCTAGGAGACAGGAGAGGAGAATGAGAGAAGGGAAAGTGGAGGCAGATGTTCACATGTCTCCAGCTGTCAAAGGTAGTTGGTATATCTAGGTTGGGTATTGGGTTACACCTCTGATTGAGTGGGCATTTTGTTATTAATCATTACCAAACATATAAAGCCTTTGATTAATCTTTAAGCATTCGAGTCTCATTCTCTTACTGGGCCCGCATGGATGGAAGAATGGTTTGGGCAATGCCCAGCCTTGTGGAGACAGTGCGGAAGATTGGCAGACCCATCTCCCACGCTGGTGTCTCGTGGGTAGCAGGGCTGGTGTTTCTGACGGGCCAGTTGTAGATGTGGCGGGCACATGGCCTCCAGCCAGGAAACATGGCGGCTGAGCTAGGTAGAGCCACGGCAGCTTAGAGAGTGGGCCTGACCCCTGACGCAGCTTAGAGAGTGGGCCTGATCCCTGACCGGAGGCAGTTTGAAATATTTATTTCAACAAAGTTTCTCTCTCTCTCTCTCTCTCTCTCTCTCTCTCTCTCTCTCTCTCTCTCTCTCTCTCTCCCTCC